ACTGTCTGTAGAGGGATTATTTGCCTTTGAATTATAATAACAACCACTTTTTACATTTCAAGTAGCCCGACTGTCCCTTTTTCGATGAATTCAGCCACTATAAGGACGCAATTCCTTCAATAGGCATCAGTTGCCTGAGCAACAAAACTTTATGTTGATGGAGTTGATTCTGGTTAGCTTACTGAAACAAACATAAGTGACTTTAATTTAATATTCTTTGATCTTTTGAAACACAATTAAGTGTTTATTTCCGTTAATTAAAGATTAAATGTATTACAATCAATTAAGTACGCCAATTGGGCGGGGGAATATACATTTAGGCGGCTCTTTCAAGACAGTTTTGCCAAAAATGATAATAAGGAGAATTCATCAGTTGCAAGATAAGCAAATAAAATTGCTGACGGACAAGATTTCATGCCTAGATACTGATTCCATTTCGCTAGGCAAACAATTCAAGATGTTTTTGTTTCGAAGCCCCTGTATACAATGGGATTCGAAATAGTTTGATTTGCCGTCGTGCTAGGTAAACACTAGACGAACGTTATCATAAAAGCCACCTCTGTAAGACCGTAACAAGCAAAATGCCTATCTCAGTCTACACTCGAGCAGAGGGAATCATAATATGCGGCTGGTATTGGGTTAGTTGAAGCCAGTGTGATGGCATATTTAGCAATGATACAGAAGCAAAATTCCCATAGACAGTGTCCATGGGGTGTCACTCAGTCTTTGGTTTGCCGATACCTAAAGCTGATCGAACCTTTTCGAGTGGTCACAGGCAGACACGGACTAATAACAATAACGCCTGACACTCAATCCGGCTTTTTTAAATATTTGTTGTCCCTGACTTATGAGGCGCTGTCTTTCCGAAGCAAATGTTACCCCATCAACTCTGTCTGCATGAAAATCCGTTGTGAACTATGGCACTTTTACGGCAGCAGTTAAATCCTTGTTGCCAGTAGTCCTTTAGTACTGGCTACCGCTCTGAGTACTGTAACAATTTGCTGCTCAGGAATAGTTACAGGTAGCCAAAAGACCTTGAACGAGTGAGAAAACTAAGTAGATATGAGGAGCTGATTTAAGTAAAAGACCGTGACAATGGTCAACAGCAAACTTGTACCCGACAAAAACGATAAGGGGGGATGAAAAGTCAGCTCATACTGAAATCTGCAAGCGGCTTAAAAATCCGGTCAACTCACAACGCGACAGGGGCATTGGTATGTGTTCACCAAGACTTCCAGATTTAGAGCTTCGATTATTTCAGCCTCTGTCATAGACTCCACCAAATCCTTCTTGTTCGCAAGCCTGAAAGATGGAAAGAGTTTAAACAATTAGGATGAGAAAAACCTAGCCCCAATTGAGGTTGTTTAGTCCATTTACTTGTTTACAGAGTTACCATTCACAAAAGTATAATTTATAGTTTCTAAAACTATAGTCAGTAAACATAGTGCTAGCTGTGTGAAAACATATTTGCAAAAAAGTACTCACAAAAGTATGGGCTTTCCAGAAATCTTGGGATGTGATATCAGGCTCGCAAGAACGGTGCGGCATTCTTCAATTCGAGAAGGCAGGGATGCATCGACGACAAAGACGACTCCAAACAGTTCAGCATAGTAAGTTTTCCATATATTCCTTATAGAATGTCCACCGCCCACATCATATAAGTTGATGTTAAAATTCTCGATGGCGAATTCCGACACACTGAAGCCAACAGTTGGAGTAGAGTACTTTACGGAGTCTGTGACATACACTCACTGTAATAACCTCTTTGAGTGAAATTTTGACATACCACCCTGGATGCTATGCACTGTAGTTGTTTTGCCAGCGTTGTCCAGTCCAAAGATTGCGAGCGTTATTTCACTTTAAAAATAAAACGGAATTCGAATTACCGAGAATATAATGCATGTGTAGGAAGCATATGTGGTTATTATTGAGGAACGAAAAAGTGTGATGACGTAAGAGGAGTAAAATAAACGACAAAACGAAGCAGGCGTGTCATCCATGAAGAGGATAAAGGACAGAACATAGAAATCAACTTTATTAATATGGCATAATTTACACGAGTTCTAAAAGGGTTCTCTAAACTATTCCACAAAGTCAGGAAAACACATCTACTCTCTCGATTCACTTCCAGTTCCCGAATAAATTAATCTGAATTGGAACGCCAATAGAGGTAGAAGGTTGGATTTGTTCATGAAACTCGCCCTCTAGAATACTTCATGTACCTGTTAAATTAGAAAGGGCAATTTTGGAATACCAGCCATTCAAAGTTTTGCCTCTTTTAAGAAAATTTTCAAAACGGTTGTCTAGTTGTCGAATTCCGGGTCCGTGCCTTATGTTTAGGTCATTCTGAAAGGTGGCCACATGCTTAATATAAATATCATTAACATTTCTATATTTTCCCTTAATGGTTATTTTGTTCAGTCCTGTTCTCTATCATTAACAAGGCTTTTCACCATGATTCCGTGAGTGGTAGCTGCCAATTTTCGAGAGGCAATATACATTTTAGTTGCACTTACTGTGGACATATTTACATATGTTGATTGGAGTGCCATAAAAATAGAATGCCGTCTTGTATTACTTATCCGAAACCTATACACAGAAAGCTATTTTATAAACAATCTCTGTCATTTGAATAAAACAGGCTATTCAAATAACTACCATTTCCAATTACATCGCCCAAAGGAAACTGTGCGGTGTCGGTGATTTGTTAACAGTTATTGTCTTTTAAGAAGCAACAGTACAAAATACTAGAGAAACGGCAGCATATGCTTGATCGACGTTGCTAAAACGGTCCTTACCAGTTCTATTCTCAGACGAATGCAGTATGTACGTGAATTTGATAAAGATGTAACGAAATTAACGTTTAGTATAGATGCTTTGGGTTGGGAAGCTCCTTGCCATATTTCAATCGCGCTGACCTGAAGTTAATTCAATAACTTCAGATCAAACGTACGTGAGTCTAGACAGTCACATCCGGTCATGAGCCGTTTGAACGCACCCCGTTAGTAATGTATAACAGACACCACTAGGAAACAAGCCATGTTGATTCAGCTCAGACGTATATGTAAAAAGGAGCCTTTTTCGTATATGCTTTAGCGTCATCAGCCCACGCACTAGCTATGTCAGTGATAATCACACCTTTACAGATGGGCTGGGACTTACATTCATAATAAAATCTTAGTTCTGTTGCTCCAATCTTTTGCCTGGTAACTGGATCTCAGTTTTATTTCCTGTGACTGTTAAGCTTCGTTCGATGCCCAAGGCCATATAAACGCATTAACCAGATATATATATCGTAAAGGTACAAATAAGGCCCACGTAGGACACATCTGCTCTTCCGTAAATAAATCTATATAGCGGTTTAAAAGGAGATCGCATCTAACAAACCTTCATACCAGTGAAACTTACATTAGGGACCTTAAGTCTGCCTTTATTGTTTCACTTTGAATTGAATTGGTTAATCTTATCTTCTGACTTTAAGAAACCGCAATAATACTATGAATTTGCGAATATTATAGTGCAGTGGATCAGAAATATTCTGATTGTCTGTTTATATTAGTGCTTTTTGACTGCCAGAACCCAATTCATTGCGTTTTCTAAGTTACACTGAAAACATTCTTCAAACAACTTTTTTCAATTTCCCGACAGCGCGAAACGTTTATACGTCTTAGAAACTTACCTCCATACACTTTATATAATTTTCATGCCTTTGTTTTTTAGCAATAGATAAATCAACAATCCATTAACCTTTCAAATGAGATTACAGTCATGAAAAGAGATCAGTTTGATACAAAAACACCTCGTCTAGATTCAAATTTTTCAGCCGCTAGAATCTTCGAGGAGTCACGTCCTTAAAATATTTGCTGGCAAGATTCCTTCATACCTCAAAATACAATTTAGCTTCATTTTTAGCTGCTGCTTCGCGTCTCAGCGATTTTTGTATACTTCACTCCATCAGATGTGTTTACAAAAGCATGCAGCAACTCTCGGCGATCTGCTTCTCCGCAATTTACTCCACACCCTGTCCACAACTGCAGAGTAAGTGCATGAGGGTTTGCTTTTATAGACTGCTCATGAACAAATTCATAAAGTTTATTCATTTCCACAGTCAGTGGAATTGTCATAGGCAGGATATTCTCAATTCAGATATGGGTTCGTATCACCTCTGCTCCTATTAACTGACGATAATTTAACATAGGTGCGTGTAGCCCATAAGTGCTAATGACAGTTATGTGGTTTAAATGAATGCACAAAATTACTATTTATATAGAAAACACGAAAAGTCGGCAAAAGGTCCAAATCAGAGTCTGACCAATCTCGAGCAACATAGGCATAATAAGACTAAAGGATAGCTGACTTAGTTGCGTTTCCTCGATGCGAACAAGCCAACCCCTAACCCCGAGACTCGACAAACCACAACAGTGCTTGTAAAACCATAAAGTCAAAATGCATTATAAAACAAAATGACCATTAAGTTAGGTTTCTTTTACATTAACTGCAGTCGGCTGGCAATGTAAAGAAACATTAATGAGTAGGAAAGGAACAGATTCACAAGAAACTACTGTGTGATTTTCTCTAGTTCGTATCTCAGTCAACATAAGCACAGTTTCGACAGATGGTCGGATCACTGTAGAAAAATATAGTCAACAGGGTTTCGTTTCCCCTTAAATGCTAGCGGTAGTTCTTCTGCATTATACCGTTGAAGTGGTTATGATTGCGAAAATCGTGCGTGATCACGCAACCTACGCAATATTCGTGGCACAACTATTTGAAAATATATTTTTAGGTACATAAAACATAGTCATAAAGTTTGACTAAACCAACATTTTATGAAGATTTTTCATCTTAAGAGAGGCACTTGTTATTTTAGAGCAAATGATGACTAAGCCCACCCATGATAGGCAAAACTGACGCAACTCCATTCAAAGAAAGGCACCAAAATCTGTAAACATTGATTATTTAACGAGCCACTTGTAGAACACCCATAGCACGATACTTACACATTATTTTTACGTTTTCTCTTGACGAAGGGAAAGCAGGCGGACACGCCTTGTCCAAAATATTGTCCAAAAAATTGTCTAGGACACAGTTTGAATACAATTTTGGTAAAGTTTAAATTACGCAATATTGACGCATGCTGATATCCATGACAACCTTCGGACGAGACGTGCTCTATAAGATGAAGGTTACGATGGTCTATAGTCTCGCATCTTAGATTGTTTGAATTAGTTGGAGAAAGGGGGAAAGCAAGAGAATCTGTTTGGCACAGGAAATATTTGAGCTACAATCACAAAAGATGCCTACCTCAACTGGAATGTGGCAAGAAGGGCAGTGAATGTGGTCTTCTTGAATTAAGTGATTGGGTTTCGAGCGGAAGACGGTAATCGTGATTTAAATTACATTAGCTAGGACGAATTTTCTAGTCGCCCAGGCGTAAAGACCACTAACTCTGCCTACTTCCCCTTGCATACACACGCTCCGTTTATTTTACGGCGATCAGAGTGTTCTTAGATGGCTTTTTAGCGGCTGAAATGCGGCTCATAATTATGGGAGAAGGAATATTAAGTTTTCCTACGTTAACTTTACTAATCAAAGAAGATAATTAAAAGTAAAAATGCAATATGTTTTCTGGATAGAATTGTCCTTTGAGCCTAACTACGTCGTTCTAGGATGCTTAGATGGGTTCGATAACGGTTCAAAGTTTAAAAATATATCTTTCGCCGAAACGACTGTTCGTCAGGATTTTTTAGCGCTAAATGAGTGCACATTGACTGGTCTTGAAGATATTCCACCTAAGTTACTGAAAAGCTTGCTAAGGAACTAACTAAACCGCTTCCTTTGCTTTTCAATACCTCTTTTGAGGCTGGCGGTTTACCCGGTGAATGGAAATCTGCGTGGATCACGTCCTTGTATAAAATCGACAGAAACGTTTCCGCAAACAATTATAAACCAATTATGGAAACTGTTTAGACGAGAGCCGATGTGCTTCGTAGAGTAGCATAACCTATAATCAGATGTGCAGCATGGATTCCGTAGATGCAAGCCCTGCGTGACGAACTTGCTCTATCGTTTTGAACGTTGGACCCGGGCGGTTAATGAAGGAAAGCTGCTTCATTTAGTCTATACTGACAAGAAGGCATTCGACTCCTACACAAACTCAGCCGAATAGATGTGACAGGAATTCTCCTGGAATGGATTCGAAGCCAATCTAAAATTGCACATTTCGGTGATCAGTAGTCGGCAGACGTCGCGGTCGAGGGCGGTGTTCCACAAGGCTCTGCCCTTGACCCCACACTATTCATTTTGTACGTTCCTGAGTGCGGTCGTGAACTGGCATGTGACGTCGCTATGTTTGCGGATGATATTAAGATTTACAGAGTCATCAGAAATGCAGCTGTCGAAGAGAACTTGCAGACAAACCTAAACTGAATTCAATGTTGGTCGAAGGACTGGTTTGTGCCTTTTCATGAAAACAAGTGCAGTATTCTACGAGTTTCTGATCCAGCTCTTATAATCTCTTCTTTTACTGCCTGAATGGCATCCAATTGTAGGAAGTAGGCGCGCAGACAGATTTCGGATTGTCGATCTCAACGGCGCTGGAGTCCATACTGTATTGGGCAAAAGTAGCCAAGTCTGCGATGTCCGTCCTGCACCTTGTCAAACTGTCTTCGTCGGCCTTCTATAAAGACTGCTTCGTTTAGGTCTTTGGAACATTTAGGCCGCCGAAACTGCAGTTCACTATCCAGGCCTGAGGGCTCTAGACCGCAAAGGACCTCAATATTCTCGAAAACGTTCAAAAGCGTGCAACAAAAGTTGTAACAGGACTAGGAACATTACCAAGTTCGTCTTATGTTGATCGATTTCGTTTGAATTACAGACAGTTACATGGTGACCTGATACAAACATTTTTTTATCATGTACGGTCAGCACTGCTGCTGGAATAGAGTAGTCGAAGCTTGGAATGCTCTGCTCATGGATGTTGTTATGTACACGTCTATTGAAATCTGTAAGAGGAAGTTAGATTGTTATAGCCGTGTCCACTCGAACACCAGATGACCTCTGTAGTCTTGCGGTGGCGTTAAATATCGTATTCTCATAGGTAACTTGCCATGTTTGAGTAACATTTGTTTGTGAAATTATTTTCTGCGTAAAATTCACCCCCTATGCATGCATCTCGCTTATTTCAACTACAGACGGATTGTTGACAATCGGGGTGGGTTCGTCTGTTTTGTCACCCTATCAGCAGACTTGGCAATCGCCAAGGGTGTGCCATGGTCGCATTTCCGGCACCTCTCGAATGAGCTCGCGACCTCTACATCTTTTTAGATATTACCATAATTGTACTGATGATGGTCGCGATGGGCCTCCTTGTCCAGCCGTACACCTCTTTGTCAGCATGGCGCTCGTATCTCGTGTACATTTTCTCTAATGAGCGAGAGTTTTTCTCCTTAAAATCCCTACAATTGCATTTAAAACCTCTATACTTTACGCGAAATGCAAAGGAAGTTTTTCTCACTGTCTGTTCTTTTTTGATTTTGCCTTACCTAATGGCTCGTGCCATTTGGCATCGTCAATGTTCCTAAATACAATACTTATGTAAATTTACTACAAACAGTGAGTGAGTGCTCATGCATGTTTATCAGTTTTTTATTGACATGCGGCTACTCACTTTTCTCCTGTGTCACTGTTTGAATTTTTCTAATGTATCGATTCATTTTTGGTCGCTGTGTCTCCCATAGGGAACTCAAAGGCGTTTGACCATCTTTCCCTCAATAAACCTGAATTTAATTGAACTTTTGTCATTTTTTCACTATCACCCAACAGACCAAATAACTAACAATAAAATTTGATGATTGGAATGAGAGGCATGTGAGAGACCCTTATTTCATTTTTAAAAGGATCTAAACGCGTCATATGAAGGCTCATATGAAGCGCGTATGGATGGCTAAGCAACTGGGGAAGGTCTGACAATTTATTTGTAACTGAGTTTGGAACATCTTCCGTTCCAGAGAAAAGCACGTTTTTGAACGACTGAGGCGGTTAAGGAGTAGGACACAACAGAGAAAGTAAGTATTGAGAACTCTATCTGAATGCAAGCAAAAAGATGAAACTGGTTCGGACTTAATGATAATATATTCTGTAAAGTAGAAACTAAAGAATTATGTCTAGTCAGTGTCAACGATTAGGTGGCCTTTTGTCATTTAGCAAAGGGAAACTTTTGCCCTAATGCTGAAAGCAAGGCCGACAGCGGAGCTTTGAGCGATGGGTTTCGTAGGGTTCCGATTAAGGTGATTCCCTCTGCCTGTTGCGCGCTCAGCGCATCTTTGGGGCCACTTCGCTAACCAAAATATTCATTTGATGAACGGGTGAAGAAATAGTGGACAAGTGCAACAACAGTGTAGAAGAAGGGTTAGAGTTGAGACATTAATGGCGTACAAATTCTAAGACACCTTTAAACAACACCGTTACGAAGTAACAAAGAACCACAATATCATTAAAATACATAAAGCCCTGACAGTGATATAACCCACAATATCTGTTCATCATGTCGTGAGGTATGAAAAGGAAATTTGTGCAAGCGTTTTGACGGTGCCCAAGACGTGCCTTACCAACAAGCCGTATTATTATAGTTTTGAAGCGTGCTTCTTTTGTTTTAAGCGACATATGGGAGGAAACAATAAATTACTACATGGCCACTTTCGACTAGGCAACGACAAAGGGAGAATTGGCAGCGGCAAGAAGTAGACTTATTTGGTTATCTCTCGTCGTTTAATAACATCTTCGAAAAACCGAAATCTAAGCAGAAAATGTTCGGGTGTTTGGTGTTGGCCTTCTAACTAACCGAACGGGAGTTCGAACTTCAAGGATTGAACATTCTGGGCTTCAGTTTGATCAGATGATGATGGCTAATAAAAGAGGTGGCCATTGAATCGGACTCTCTTTCTAATTACATAAATATTGGTTGCGTATTTTTAATTGGCGGCAACACGAACAGAAGAAGTTTCTTATTTTATACTGGCGCCCAACTATTTTCAATGCCTTTCTAAGCTAGCTCTTCTTACCGAAGAAGTGACGGCTAGCATTATATGACCCCTTGGCCTCCACATACTGCCACTTTGTGTCCGATTTTCTTCTTTACTTTTCACTGCAAAGTCGATTATTCGTGTCTCCATCACCGCTGGCATCTGTTCTCACCTCGAGCTTTCTTGGTGTTTTCAAAATTTTGGCGAATTTACGGAAATCTGGTCTTACAAAGTACTTTCATGCGACTGCGCTATTGCGAGTTCCAATCCGATGTATTCACCTCGGTGAAACTGTGAGAGCTACAGAGTCTCGAGGATTACATCCCAACAGTTGTGCTCTCTGTGCGATACAGCTCTTCCATCCACACGAGCATTTCGTATGCTTGTTGACTGCACCATTTATTCCCCTTCCACCTGGCTGCTGCCAGGGTCATATATAAACATATGCTCAGAATAGGGATCATTTGTCGAGCTTGGCCTCCTTGACTTATAACCTGCATACGACTGCCAAGGCAAACAAGAACCACTTAAAAAACAAGGAAAACGAGCATTGTCATTTTCAGCTTATTAGCTTGCCATGGTCAACCTGCATATTTGCAACTCCCATGTTTGACTCACATTCTGGTGGTTGGACGTTCAACTACGTTAACTTTGACTTACAAGCTCGTTGTCTTGTCAGCTGCGATCGAGAATACTAACAATGGTAGAGGGCGCTCACCGATCGCGCAATAAGACCTATCCACTGTACTGTGTTTGGGAACATAATGTAGAACCCCATACGCAGTCGCACAACCACTAATAATATATGCCAATATGCGTGGTGAAATTTCGTGTATATTATAAAATAGTCAAATTAAAT